AAGAACGAAAAGGACTTCATTACAAGCAACGCGTATGCATAATCGGATTCACACACACACCGCACACACACACCGCACACACACACAGTCGCGCGTGGCATGCGAAAAGTAAACAGTTAATATAAGCTCTTGATATCAACTTAACAAACATTGTACGTATTGTAGAAAAGCTGTTGGAAGTTGGCGTAGAGTGTCCCTAAAACTCCAGCCGTTGGAGAGGCAGCCAGCATGCCGGTCCTTAGGCAGAAAAGAAAAGGGGATGAAAGTTGGCGCGCAAAGCTACAAAACGGAATGGTTGCCAAGTGTGTGCAAAATAATATTTTTTGATAGTAAAATTTAGTAAACTTAAGTTGAGTGGAAATTTGAGTATCTTTTGGGCGATTCATTTTCTGAGTTTAATTTTGAGTGAGTTTTTTTCTTGGTTTCCTTTTAGCAAAAAAAAATTAAATAAAATAAAAGCCAAAACAAAATAAGCTTCGCTTACTTGCCACAAAAAGCTGTGCTACGCGCTATGCTGCTCACCGTCGGCATCAAAACAGTAAATTAACTTCCCACGTCTGCCGCTACTCTTCATGTCTTTACTTGCCTTTGTCGGCGGCGCTGTTGCTTGACTTTGCTTGCAATAAAACGCATTAGAACTCAGCAACAAACAGCACGTGGTTCTTCAATGGGGCTCACATGTGCGTCTACTTTCTTTGTTTATACACGTATTTGTATGTATGTATGTATGTATGTATGTATGTGTGTGCGTGTGTTTGATTGTTTGTTTATGCGTGGCGTTTTAATTTTTTGGGGGAGACTTTTGCGAGACGTTTCGCATTACAAATTCCCAACGGTAAAAAAGGGTGGCATACGACAGTGGCGTAGTTGACCAGCATAAACTTTGGGGGGGGGGGGCCGCAGCGCACGATGCGCACCAAATGGCGGCTGGTGAATATTTGGTCCTCAGGGATGAAGTTTGGAACTACAAACACACAAACATATACAAATGTATATATGTATGCATGCCTGCTTGGCAGGTAAACAAATTACGCATATTTTGTAGAGTTCACTGCCATCATTTTTTTTTTTCTCGTATGTTTGTGTTTTTGTTTTTCCTTTCGCTGCTTCTCAATCCCGTTGAGCAATTGTGGATGCATGGGTAGGAAGTTTGATTTTTGTCACCGTCTAGGCACAAATGTGTGTTAAAATGAATTAAGGGATATGGAAAGTAAAACTAGGAAAAGATTTAACTTCAGAAAATGCTCTACATACAAGAAAACGATTTAAAAAATATTTTAAAATTATATCAAAAATTATAGTAATCGTAATTTTGACTAAGAAAGTGAGTTTCAGCGCAAGGCATTTTTTTGCTGTTGTTGTTATTGTAACCGGCAATATATCGGCTAAATTGGTTTCAAAGAATGTTGCGGCACAGTCCTTGGGCCGTATAGAAGTTCGGATTGTGCCGTTATGGAAGCCGACTGTCGTCGGTAACTATTAAACTTCAGTGGCTTTTTATGGATTTGCTGATAATTCCTTGTCTGCTAGCGTTAAATGCTAACTTAAGTTTCATAAAGCATATTCGTCGAAGGAAAAGAATTCTAGAATGCAACAATATACCAAAGAGGAAATTCAAAAGATCTTTGACGTCATTATAAGGTGGCTCAGAAAATCCCACCCAGATGATTTACACCATCCACTCTACTAATCTTAAAATTTTTTGAAACGAACTCCTCGGATTTTCCGAAAAAATAGCCTTCTTTGGTTAACATCGAGCTTGCAGAGAGAGGCCTAAGATTTGGTTTTACACTTCAAAGACCTTTGACTCAGAGTAATTTTTTTTTATGGAGGTTAAGGCATACTCAGACTATTATTATGTTATTTTGGGGTAAAAAAATTTGGAAAAAAAATTAATACATCATTTTTACACCTTGAGAAAGACTAAAATAAAGAAAGGCAGAAAAAAAAATTTTATTTTTTTGTTAGAATTTTTTCCTTTTTGATTTATAGGCGGCCGCTTTAGCCAAGTATTAAACACTGCCATGCGGAGGGCCACGGATTTCATCAGACCAGTCCGATATGCCAAACTATAGACAAGCCTTCTGAGTGTATTTCTATCATGAAATAATAAGCTTCTCATAAAAAACCAGCGGCCGATCGGTGGTGACTTGGAATAGACTATAGGGGCCTTCATTTTGTTGGAATACACCATCAAATTGGAAAAGAAGCTTAAACCCAAATTGCTGTAACCAAATTCTGATTTTCGATTGAATTTCTTGGCCTCGAACGGCTGTTGAATTTCTACGATTATTTCAAACCGAAATCACTGTCGGAAGCAATCACTTATCGGCCTAGAAGCGAGCGTATTTAGTAACAACTTTTTTTGAATTTTTTTATATGTTGATCTGATCTTAGATAGACTCGGGTCTATGATCCGCCGAATAGCATATGTACTCTGCTAACCGATAAAAATATAAAAAAAAGTTCTAAAAATTGTAATATCAGGAAAGGTACTTATTTTACTTTCTTGAATCTTTTTTTTTTTGCTAAATCATATTTTTTATTATAAAGAGAAGGCAAAAATGATTTTTAATGCTCATACATCTTTGATAGAGAAAATATCCATTTTTAATTTTTGTCTCGTATCTTTATTATAAATATCGGAGTTTTTTTTTATTCTAAAACGTTTTTAAAAAGAAAAAAAAAACTTGTTAAAAATGATCTATCTTTTCATAAATCAGTAATAAATTATTTAGGAAATCATTGAAATAACTGCTCGACTCTTGAAGAGTTTTCTATAGATGTCCATATAATGTCCATACCGTTTCGAGAAAAACCACATACGATCTAAACTCTTTACTGGAACACTACTTGAGTCAATATTTTAAAGATCAAAGCTTTACTCTGGCAGGTACCTTTTCTTCCATTACTGATCAAAGGTACTACTGCATTTCCTCGCCAAGTGAGGTACTCACAGACTACGTCTACTATAGACACCTTAAACTCCCTACATTTCCTACCCCTCAAACTTGTCCACGACTAGACCTACAAAAGGTATCATCAGAGGAAGTGGATAAGCCCAGAGTCTGATTTCTGTGTTACTATTATGAATTTTCATTTAATTTTTCTATTATTTAGCCCCTTTACTTGCTGCCGAAGTCTATTAGTCTCGAGATACAAAGAAATTCCCTCCATTCATCACCTCCCTGAATGTTATTGGTGAGGCAATAATTACGTTCCGTTCTGAAAGATCGTCCTCTTCCTCTTCAGGCAGTTAATTGTTTCTCTACCTGCCCATATGATTTGGTAATTTTATTTATTTAAGTTTATTAAGAAAAAGAATATTTTATATGAAATTTCGTTTAAGAAATAATAGAGATTTATTATGAAAAATTGAATATTTCTGCTACGAAATTTCAAAAAAATAGAAAAATAGAAAAAGTAGAATTTAATATTATTTTTTTTGGTATTTTCTTTTTTTTTCGTAATTTTTTATACAAAATTATTTAACGGATTTTTAAAATTAGTATAACAAAAATTATTATTTTCCTCCTTTTCGGAAAATATTTTGTTATCTCAAATTGTTTAAAAAAATTTTCACTGGAAGGTCTTAAAAAGTTTTCAATGAATATCATACTTTCGAAGTTTATTACAATTTTTATGTTGGACAATTTTTCATTATTCAAAAAGTTAAAAAACAAGCACTTATTCGAAAAAAAATTTCGATTTAAATAATTTTATTTTTTAAAAGTACAATTATGCGATGTTGTTAAAACTAAAAAAATAAAACATTGCAGTTTCAAATCATTTTAATATTTAAATTTATAGAAAAAAAAGAAATTCAAATCCATTCGGCGCTTTCTGAAAGCTACGAAAGAAAGTCTTGTTTGTTCACAAAATAGAAATGAAATATAAATTTCTATAGTTTTTATAGCATGACATTTTATTTTGAGATTCTTAAATTTTTATTTTATGCAATACTCTTCGTTATTTTTATACATTTTTTATTTTATTTATATATTTTTTAATTTAATTTAATTTTATGTAATTTTTGTTTTATTTTTTTAAATTAAAGCAAATTTTTGTTTTCTTTTATTTTTGTCGATTTTTTTCAATTTAAATTATTTTTATTTTATTTTTGGTTTATTTTTATTTTTATTTAATATAATTTTATTTTATTTTTAATTTATATTTATTTTATTTTATTTGTTTTTTTTTTATTTTTATTTAATATGATTTTATTTTTAATTTATATTTATTTTATTTTATTTGTTGTTTAATTTTATTTAGTTTAATTTAATTTTATCCGGTATTTATTTCATTTTTTTATTAATTTTAACTTAATTTGAACTTTATTTTTTTTTATTTTACTTGTGTTGAATTTTTTTAATTTAAATTATTTTTGTTTTATTTTTGGTTTATTTTTATTTTGATTTAATATAATTTTATTTTATTTTTAATTTATATTTTTTTTATTTGTTGCTTAATTTTATTTAGTTTAATTTTATTTTATCCGGCATTTATTTCCTTTTTTTTTATTAATTTTAATTTAATTTGAACTTTTTATTGAATTTGTTTAATTTAAATTATTTTTATTTTATTTTTGGTTTATTTTTATTTTGATTTAATATAACTTATTTTTATTTTTGAATTTACTTAATTTAATTTAATTTTATTTTTATTTAGTTTAATTTAATTTTGTCTTATATTTTTTTCGTTTTTTTTTAATTTTAATTTGATTTCAACTAAATTTTTGTTTTTGTTTTAATAATTTTTATTTCATATTATTTAGAGCTCTTGATTTTGGTTTTATTTTAAATTTTTTATTATTATATTTTTTATTATTATTCTATAATCTATCATTTTCTTTCATATTGCTTCTTTATGGCGATTCTTTTGTGCTAGAATCTATTTTCTTACTATTTTCCAAAAAATAAATATACACGTATTTCTCTCTACTCCCTCGAATTTGATTAAATTTTGGTGAAACTTGCAACCGCTAAATAATCAACACTTACTTGCTATGATCAATGACCGGCTGCATCCAGGCGCGCGCACCCAACGGCTCCTCTTTCAGTGATGTCATGGGACCGCGCGGTTGATTCATATCCGCCGCTGTGGGTGGCAGGCCAAACATAAGGCCGCTCGCTGAACGTGGCGCCGCCGAGGGATAGAGTTTGCGACTCCATTCCAACTCGAGTGTGGGCCATGGATTGGCCGAGTTAAAACCCGGTACTGGTTCGTCGGAACGCAGCTTGAGGCCGTCACACGCGCGTAGGGGATGAGAAAAAGAGCAAATTGTTCTAGTTGACTAAAGTGAAGTGGATGGTGGAGAAGTGTGAGTTTAGATAACAACCGATTTTCACGTAGTTTATAAGTCTTGAAAACACACACCAAAGCAATAATAAACACAACAACTGGAGTCTATTTGTTTTCAAACGCTGTTTTTAATAATAGTTAGGCTTCAAGCTCGTAGTAAAGGCGCATCAGCTTTGCAACTGGGTTCGAGTGCTGCGGCTTATAACACTTGCCCCTCTGGGGTTTTCAGTACGCACACGTTTTTAAATTTGTTAAAGAAAACACAAGTAAGTTAACCGCGCGTATATACACACACACACACCTGCGCGTTGTCACACTTTATGCCGCACTGTCACTTTACCACACTAGACTGTCAATCGATAGAGATCACACAGGTCGGTCACTATTGACGCATACGCAATTTGATTGAATTTTCAAATAACTAATCGGATTTGACATTTGTACGCTGTCGATTTGCACGCATTTGCATTGACGTTACCCGAAACGTCTGAACCCGTTGAGAATTTGGGATTTTCCCCGGGATCAATGGTGTTAAATACAAGAGAAAAAACAAAAACGATTCAGCTTTTAAGCTTTGACTGATTTTCGGCTGGCTGAAATGTGTGTGACACTACTACTAAAATACTCTCTTGCCTAAAGTTCTTGCGACAGCTGTACCGTCCCGAGTGGCTGTTAAACCCCAACTGAATCCCGCAGTGTGATGTTATGACCGGCAATGCTGCTGCTGCTGCTGCTACCGCTGCTGAAGCTACGGCAGCGGCGCGCACAATACCAACGCCAACGCGAATGACGAGCTCAGCTGAGCTCAGTACCAGCACCAGCACCAGCAAACAGTATACAGTATACAGTATACAGCACTCAGTACGGCATAGCGAGCGACGGGGTAGCAGCCGTTAGCCTAGCAAGTCAACCAGTCAACCAAGCAGGTCACAGTATGACGCAGACAGAGTAGACAACGGCGACGACGAATCACCATTGGCGAGGGTTCAGGCACAGTGCAACACAGCACAGCACAACAACAGAGCAATAACAATAAACGCATGGGATGGACGGGTTTTGCTTATCTCCGAGTATGTGTGTGTGTGTGTGTTGAGTGCGAGCAAAACACCACTGTTGGAAGTGAGACTGGCAAAGCTTGTACTATATTGAAGAATAATAACAATAGTAATAATGGTGGTGGAGCAGACACCAACAGCAACAGCAGCAAAAACGGCAGCAGTGGTATTGTTTAGCAGAGCTCAATATGACGAAGGCAGTGCCAAAGAGTCGATAGTGTAGTTCGGAGTGTTGACAGAGCAAACAAGAGCTCCGTAGCGAACTGCTTTTCGTATTGTTATTGTTGTTGCTAAAGCAGAGCACTGAACAACCAACCAGCCACTAGCGACACAACACAGAAACCAGCAACAAAGCGTATGCATGCACTGAGATTATGCTGGTCGGTGCTACAGGCAGAGAAACGAAACATAATAACAATAATAAAAACAAATGAGGAAAAAAAGTAAGAGGAAAGAATTTAAGAAAAGAGAGTTAAAAAAAAACTGTATTTAGAAATCCTAACCTATCACTAGTGGCGCTGCGCTGAGCAGGCGCATCGGCGCAAGGCACACCACGACGTACAACCCCTCGCACAACGGCAACAACGACGTCAGCGATAGCTACCAGTGGCGGAATTCGCCACACGCTACGAATAGGTGCGCTAAAACGCTCGACGGTGCAATAACAATCACGCAGGAAAGCCATTTGTTTGTGTTCGTATCGGGCGCAAAGTCGCAGTTTGGAGCTAAAAATTCTTCATGCTATTGTGCACCTATTTGTGGAAGTCTAGAGCCGACGAAGAGTACTGCAGCGTAAGTGACTATTGTTCATGGCTTTGCTCCGTGTGAGGCATACAACGGTTTGGTTTTTCGGTCGATCTATGCGGCACTGGAAACCGAGGAAATATATATACATATACATACGTACCTATACATGTATGTATGTATATAGAATGTGTCATTGTAGAGCAAGCTATTTTGGTGGGCTTAGACGCGAAGCTGTGTATTGTTGTTGCCTTTACATCCTATAGCTTAGTAGTACCATCGTTGTTGTGCTTGAATGTTATTGCTATTTTTATTGTGGTCGTTCACAGAGCATTGCTGAGCGCATACAGGGTGGCGCAATGAGTGACAAATCATACTTTGAGAAGAGTCGCTACAATATTTTCAGTGTTGCACTATAAGTGGGCTTTGGGAATCCGTTACAAAAGAACATAAATAACGTAGAATCGATTTTTTTAGAATAATATTTGCGATATTCTAGTTCTCCTTCTATCAACATTTTGAATATGAGCTTTTTTAAAGTAAAAAAAAAAATTTTTTAAATTATAATTTTTGTTTCATTCTGAATCAGTCCCTGCTTTCATTGGATCACATTCCGGTACTAGGTGTGATTCGAGGTATGAAAACGTTCAGATTTAAGAATCAAATTCGAGTAATTAGGGGTTCGCGAGTAAGCCTAAAGCCATTTCTGATAAAAATACAAAATAAAATAAAATTTAATAAATAATTATAAATGGCCGGCTAAATATATTGTCAAACTGGTTCATACTTCAGTGAGCGGTCACTTTGTCGGGTGTTGAGATAAAAGTATTGCGAAATAACGACAGTTTATTCACGGGAAGCATACATTTTTGATAAGGAATAAGCCGAATGTTCGTATTTTAGGCCTCTCAGGACTGCTTCTTCCCCTCACGTTGTCAAGCATGGCCTTTTCTATGTTACCTCCTTCGTTTGTACTTTGAAAAGTGGTTTTGTTTCACATTAGTATTATTATAAGAGCTCTAGCAAAAGCTTAGGGTGATATGCATACATATGAGAGGAAAAGAAAAACAAAAAGGGACAAAAACGCCGAGGGTAAGAAATAATCCTCAATTAAAAGGAAACTTTAACAAAAGACAATGTAAAGTTTAAGAAAAATTTCTCAGAGATAAAGGAAATGTGTATACCTGACGTGCCCCACCTACTCATATAAGGAAATTTAATTTTCCTTATTAAAATTTGTTCCCGTAAACTAGGGAGCGTTCATAAGCCACGTGGTCATATATATAGTCTTCAACTTGGTTTCATGAAGTCTAAGTTGACTCCTTTTAGCTTTGTACTCACTTTATCGCCAAAACTTGTCTGACCGCAAGCACATTTAACCTAACTAGAATGTACTATAAGTAGTTTATCCTATAACCTATTTCATCAATAATCACTATAGTAAACCAAATACAAATACGAATAGATCATCAGTCGGATCACCCTGTACAAATGCCTCAAATACGAATGGTAGGTACACCATGATTAGGAGTGTCAATTTATGCTCCTAATTAAGCTAGGCAGAGTGAAAGAGAGAGCAATAATCAACATAGGCGAGGAGTCAGGTTTGAATAACACCGATATAGCGATTGGAAGGTGTAGCTATGTATATATAATATGTATATAACATATTTTATATTATATAAGAACGTTTGTATTATAAGGAAATTAGATAAAAAAAATATAACAAAAACACATGCGGTGAAAGAAGTAAATTAAAATAATTCAAATAAATAAAATAAAATACTAAACATTACAATAAAATAAATAAATAAAATCAAATGAAATAAATAAAAAATAAGAGAAAATAAGAGAAAAAAATTAAATAAAAGAAAATAACAGAAAATAAAATCAAATAATATAAAATAAACTAAAAATAAAAATTAATTATATTTAAATAAAATACGAAAAAATTAAATAAAAATAAAAATAAAACAAAACAATTTAGAAAAATATTAAAATCAAATAGAATTTCGTAAATAGAATGTAAATCAAAAAATTAAAAAATTAAGTGAAATAAAATAAAGTAAAATAAAATAAAATAAATAAAATAGAATAAAAATAAAACAAAAATAAAAAATATAGGTAAAAAAACAAAATTATAACCTAAAAAAATAAAATTAAAATTAAATTAAATTTAATGAAATGAAATACATTAAAATATAATAAAAGAAAATACAAAAAAATGAAATAAATAAAAAATGATGAGAAACAAAAAAATTAAGAAATGTAAATAAAATGAAGTAAAACTAAATACAATAATATATATAAAAAGAAAATAAAATAAGAACAAATAATAAAAATAATAATAAATATGAAATCGCATAAAATTAAACTATTCATTCATTAGATAAAATAATATAAGTTAAATTAATATAAAATACAAAGAAATTAAATTAATTTGAAATAAATTAAGCAAAGTTAAATTAAACTAAATGAACTTTAATGAAATTAAATTTAATTAAATTAAATAGTATTAAATAAAGAAAAATTATGTTAAAGGAAATGAAACAAAAATAGAATAAAATAAATTAAATTAAAGATAAATAAGAAATAAAATATAAAAAATTAATTAATTAAATTTATTGAAAAGTAATAAATCAAAATTAAATATAAATAATATAAAGTAAAGTAAATTATATTAAATAAAGCAAAATCGAGGTAAAGGAATGGAAATAAGAATAAATAAATAAATAAATTAATAAATAAATAACAAATAAGATCATAAAAAATAAATTAATTAAATTGAATTGAAACAAAAATAAAGCAAAGTAAAGAAAATAAAATAATAAACTATAATTTAAGCTAAATTAATTGAATTGGCAGCATCACAAGACAGCAGTAATCATCTAAAGAACAATTTTGAAAACAAATTTAATTACATACATATGTATGTTTAATTACGCTATCTTATTACTTTTTAGTAAACGGCAATGTTTGTATTTATTGAAAAAAAAACTTTGATAATTAAACGCAAACTTGAATAAACCGCACGCGGAGCAATTTGATAAGCAAATGAGAAAAGCTAAAACGGTTTACTAAAATATAGAACTTTTCACACAAAAGCGTACTTTTGTACATTTGTATATGCAGTCAAATCAAAGGCGTGTAGGAAAGTAAATACGTGCATATAAACGTACAAACTGACAGCTAA